CCTAGGCAATTATTACATGGGATACAAATGTGAGACAATTCCATCCAACGATAAAATGGTTGTACCTCAAAACAAAGTAGCATTGAAATTATTCGAAATTTATCGTTGGTTAGCACAATTTTGAACCCTCAAATTAACAACAATTTTTATTAAAAGTAAACAGTAGGTATTTTTGTTCTTCAGTGCCTAATTTGCACAAAGGTATAGTAGGTAGGTATGTAATTAAGGTTGGTCTTTCCGTCAGAATGTTTGCAATTTTTTTGCTCCCAGAATTAGGAGTAATAAACCACCCGGCCTACGAAAGAGTATAATTATTTTTACATAGAAGTAACGCCGTAGCGGATAAGTATTTGAAGTGAGAAATTGAAAGTGTGCAGCATCCAATGTATGGGGATGGTACCGATTTCGGAAATACATGCTGGGGACGTGAGCCGCCATAGGCGTGCGCTGGTATATTTTCCTTATTTCTTAATTCTTTATGAAAATTACTGCGATTTACAATATATTGTATACTAGTCCAGTCAATCTATTCCGTTTCCGTTTCCCCATAAAAACCTTCATATAAAATTTCTGTCAATCAAAAAATAACTGAGTAGATATTCTGCTGATTAATATACCAAAAAATGGATCTCCAAAAATGACCGCTAATATTGTAAATTTATTAAAAACGATTGAAAATTCACAACACAATGCTTCGAACATTGATAGTTGCACTTTAGCTCGAGGTAAATATCATTTTGTAGAGAAATTAATTGTTTTTAAATTTGATGTGGGAATCTGTCATACATCTCTCATTTTATGATAAAAATTGTGGAAACTTTCCATTAGTTTCCAACCCCGATTACACCATAAAGCGTCAGGGTCGACCCAGTCTAACCGTGAACAAATTAGTGACAAGCTGAAATTTGGTAAATAAGTTGATTTTGGAGTCCTTAAAATACCACCAAACCCCATAAGTGAACAGCCGTGTCTGTCACCTCCAAACAATCCTTGAAAGGGATGAAAATCAGACTTTTTTTTAGTTTTTTGTCAATATCTTGAAAACAACGCTATTTGCAAAAGAATGTGAAGATAGACGAATGAAAGCGTAGGTATGGTGCTGTACCAGTGGCGAAGTTATAATGTTAATTTTGGCATTTTAAAAAATAAATCTAATTTTTTATTTTTTTATGAAATCTAGAGAAATTTCTCAAAAATATTTAGGTAAAAACATTCATCTCGTGCCTATTTTCATGAAATAAAAAATCATAACAGTGGCGTAAGTACTAATTTTTTAGAGGTCCTAATTTATGTTGAAATTTTTAAATATCCGTGACTTTATTTGGTTATCAATTTCCTGGCCGTAACATATATAAATTTTGTTTGGCATAGTGACTTAATGAATTAAATATTTTTGAAAAATTTGTTTTTATTTCAATCAGAAATTAAAAAATTAACGTCTTTTTAAAAATAACCAAAATTAATATAACTCCGCCACTGGTACAGGAAAATATATAGGTAGGTTTTATAGGCAAACGAAAATATATACCTTTAATTTTTCTATTTTCATATTTTTCCCTAAATAGCTTTGATTTCAAGATACATATTCCCAAAAAACAACAATAGGCATTTTCAACCCTTTGAGGGTTTTTTAAGGGTTTGATGTGAGTAGGGTTTGGTGCGTATTTTATGGATCTCAAAACATGCGTTTACCCTGATCGAGTTTCAAAGGTGATCTTTCGATCCCGCTTTCCAATAAATCAATTCATGGCGAAAATTTCATTGCAGTTCTCTACCTATATACAGCAGATCCTCAGAGGGAATCAAACTCTAACTCGATATCTAGTAATAACCCAGGCGTTAGTGGTGCGGGAACCACAAATTGTTCTTTTACGTTCCAAATAAATAATTATGGTCAAATGTATGTTGGGGTTTTTAATTAATTGTTTGAAGCTGTCAAATTTGGTGTATAAATAACAGTCCGATAAGTGTTGCTTAGCGACACTTACGGACTTTAATTGATAGTAATCGAACATCTACGGGTAACGGGTTACGGGACAGTATGAAATACAAGAAATAAATCGAGTAAGTACCTACATATGTGTAAATAATTCCTCATTCAATTGTCTTATCAATGTCACATTGAAATGAACTGACTGAACAACGGAGTAGGTACTATACGCGTGTAAGGTAGGGATAGCACGTGATACTTTATCACTTTTAAGCTCCACCTTTACTGGCAGTTTCGAATACTTCGTCTCCTACCGCTGCGTCCCTTAGAAAGTACTGGAGCAGCTCCCGATTACTCTTAATGTGCTTCCTCATTGAGCTCCTGAGCCTCATAGTTAGCCCACTACTTCATTTATTTTACTCCCGCGATTTGTTTTGATCAATCTACTTCAGTGTAATATTAAAGTTACATAAGATATCTTTCATTGGTCCTTCGAGGTACACGTACCAAGACACCATACAATAGACTTCATGGTAAAACCTCTCTGCTATTCATCTTCGAGAACTCTTTTCGGTGGTGATTTGGGAGATCCAATGATACGATAATTCTTATCAGGGAGATTGAAAACAGATGTAGCAAGAAAACACGATCACGCGTGCGACCTTCGACGGTATACTTGACGTCAATATTATCCCAATACAGGCAGAAGCACTTCGCAAATAAATTCATGAAGTGACGTTACAGTGTAATTCAGCACGTGGTGGTGGACTTCATAACTCTGACCTCAAATTAATGAGAAAAAATCAAAACGCGTTGGAACTAACTGCGAACCCAAATTTGTCTATTATAAAAAAAAATGAGATTTAAAAAACACAATCGTAGACTAAGAGTAAATTTTCGTACTGGCCTAACTCATTTCATAACTCAACTCAAAACACAACGTTTTTTCCCAATTAAAAACCCTAAGTTTATGTAATAATGTCGATAAGCGATAAATGTATTTGACTATAAATAACACGAAACGTAAACGATGAACGTATGCATGGAATATTACCAATTGGTGTCACTCCATTTGTTTTATCATATAGCCTTAGTATTTCTAATTTTACTGTACACAAAAGTGGATCACCAGATGCTTTACGTTCTTTTGGCGTTAAATTTTCTGATAGCCCCAGGTGAAGCGGCAAAAATTACGACACAATATGGCACCATAGAAGGAGTCGTCTTCCGGACAAGATCGGGCAAGGAAGTGCTTGCCTACATGAGTATGCCTTATGCCGAACCACCGGTTGGAAAGTTACGTTTTCAGGTAAATTATCTACCATTGCTCACGCTGTAATGACCATTCTAGCCTCCGGTACCCGTGAAACGTTGGCCAAGGACGCTTAATGGGAGTAGAATACATGGGAAATGCCCTCAAAGGGCAATCTACACGTCAAGTGTTGCAAAAGAAGGTGACGAAGACTGTCTTTACATCAATGTGTACACACCCCTAGTATGCCTCGCTTGGAAATTTCTTAGTAATAAAGTGATTCTTGTAGAATGTGCGCGAAAGTTTACCAGTAATGGTCTATATCCACGGCGGAGGATATCGTACCGGTTGTGGTAGCTACAACTGCTTTGCTCCCAATGTCATTTTAGAGAAGGATGTTGTAATGGTTGCCTTTAATTACAGATTAGGTATCAATGTGTCCCTTGAAGTGTGCTAAGTATAAGAGTCATGCGTAGGTCCTCTTGGCTTTCTCAGTACAGGGGATGGTGTTGTTCCCGGAAACAACGGCCTAAAAGACCAAAACCTGGCACTCCGTTGGGTCAAGGATAATATACGCGATTTTGGCGGAGACCCCTCGAGAATCACGTTATTTGGCCAATCAGCAGGCGCTGCTAGTGTGCATCTGCATATTCTATCGGCCAAAAGTCAAGGTAACGCACTAAGTAAGTCTAACGATAACCTTTTCTTAGGATTGTTTCATAGCGCGATATTACAAAGCGGATCGGCTTTGACGGCTTGGGGTTTTGACCGAAACCAGAACGTTGCGTATACCAAAACCGTTGCGAAAAGCTTAAAATGCCCGACAACGGATAACCGTGCACTAGTCGACTGTTTAATGCATAAAAACCCTCATCAAATTGTAGAGGCCGATATTAACCTTAGAGTAATTGCTAACTGCAGCTTCGCCATATTCACCACTCTCTTTACAGAAATGGTCGATTGATCCCACCGTCACGTTTAAACCCACAATTGAGGAAGACACGAACGACGGTTTCATCACACAACCCCCGTCAGATTTAATTCGGTCAGGAAATTTCTCGAAAGTCCCATTGATCATTGGGATGAACACCGAGGAAGGCAGTATGAGGACCATTGGTACGGAATTGACTTCTCTAACATACCATTACAGTCAAACCTTGAAGGAATATATCGGGATCCCTTCGTCACGAAATACTTTAACGATCATTTTGAGCAAGTTGCTCCGGTCTCTTTGGGCATCGAAAATCTCTACAGCAATTTAGGTAGTGTAGTGAAACGGATACGAGATTTTTATTTTAAAAGTTCCCCTATCAATCATCACGCACGATTAAATGTGATAGATGTAAGTTGCTGACGAATAAGAAATCATGTTTGAGAGCAATTTCCAGATGTACTCAGATGCTCGGTTTAATAGTGGCATTGACGAAACTGTGAGGCTGCATAAAAAACATGCGGATTCGGAAGTATTTCTTTATTTGTTCGGACATAGAGGTGCTGGCAGTTACAGTGAAATGCAAGGCGAGATGTCCACTAATTACGGTAACCTTATGACCTCCTAGGTTTTTAATCACCTCTACTGTTGCAGGTGTCAACCACTGTGATGAACTTTTTTATTTGTTTCCCTACATGGAAACCCACTTACCCTTCAAGAAACCGGACGCTTTTGACAACAGGATTTCAAAAGTATTTACGAACCTGTGGACTAACTTCGCTGCGACTAGGTTGGCGAACGCCTTAACGGTTGCTTACCTAAACTACTATTGTTTCAGCAAACCGACGTTAACAAAGGATTCCGTCCCGGTTTGGGAACCAGTTGCGACGGATAGACTAGAATTTTATTTTATAGGCCAAAGTAGCCACATGGGCACCAATCTGCTCATGAAACGCCTACAGTTTTGGAGGAAATTAAACAAGGAATTTAGGAAACCCGACTATGACTAGTTTTTCGCCTTTGCTCGAAGCATCTGTTTTTCTGCTCTAGTTTTAGGTCTAGTTAATTTCATTTGTGAGTCGGATGGTACGATTCCAAGGGAAGGAGGTGGTGGTACCGGTCCTGCCATTACTGCACACGTATAGTTTCCGGCACCGGGGTCGTCGAAAATTAATTCCCCTTCGCGATCTCTCCAAGCGCAGTAGCTAACTTCGTAGATAGTCTAATTAATTATTTATGTTAGAATTGCTGATATATTAAATTATTGACAAAGTACCTCCATTCCTAACCTTTTTGCGACAGTTTGCATCGATAATGTCGGAAACAATCCGGCAACAACGGGAATATTATACGATCTTGCCACCCTTACTCCGCACATCATTAGTAGGTATCCTAGTGCTGCACAGATTGGATAGTTCCAGATCTACGCGACAAATAACTTACACTGGTGTCGATACTGTGGTAAAACGCAAAGCTCGTAATAGCGTAGGTAAACGTCGCAGTTACACTTCTCGTGGATGTCAACCCTTCGATTTATATGCGACCTAAACGCGACGCACTTCTTCATAGCTTCGCCTTCAATCAGTTGCACTTGGCTAAATACGCGGTTAAACTCATTCTTTCTCATAACCTTCAAGATTAGAACTCCGACGATTTTTAACTTCGCTTCCGATTCATCTTGTAAATCCTCGTCGTCGTGGACATAATCTGTAATTCTAATGAGTAGATGTGATCTTGTACACTGCAAGCTACTTAGATCTACAGCGATGATGGATGAGCTGTCACGAATTTGAAAACGGATGCGTCTCAAATAACAAGCCAAAGATTCCTCGTCGTTTAGGAGCTCGGTGTTTTTACACAAAACGTCATTCTCCAAAAAGTGATCCTAAAAGGTGCCATTTCCGGTACCTGTTTTATTTTATCAGCTATGTACCTTAAACATATTTACGACCTCCTCGTGTTGATCCTCCTTTAGATCTTGAATTCGGATGCCGTACGACGTTTCCTTCCACACGAGCGGCGAGAATATACGTTTCAGCTGAATCTTAAGAGGATCTTCGAAGATTTCTTCTTCTTTTACAGCTTTCGCCCTCTCTTCCTCGAGTCGTAATCTTCTACTCATTCTGCGAGGAATGGAAGACAAGTATGACAGTGATCAAGACGTTTACATGTCAGTAGTTTCATATATTTCAAATACATTTGTAAAGTAATAACTATTTTGGTTTTTTCTTATCGCGCACTTCGATCACTGGAGGAACTTTAGGTGGTGATACGATGGGAGGTGGCAATATGTTCAAATCCATAAGTGTACAACAGCCTACAAAATCCTTCGAAAAAACGAAATCGCCCTGTTCGTTCCTCCAGTCAGCATAGTATAAAGTATATAGTGTCTGAAATTATAATGTATTATTGAGTAAAGTAAGTAAGTAAGTCCAGTTCTATCAGCCTTATGCACTTGCGGGGGGGGGTAAGTTGCGAAAAGAATTACTTCTACGCTATCGAGGTTGTGTTCCCAATTTACTTGGTACACAAAAAAGTAATAAATTTCAACCTTTGGCACCGATCTAATGAATTTGGACGTCTCCTCAACCAAATTTAGTGAATATACACAAAGAATTTGATGTTGATGTTGTTTCTAAAAAATGCGTATCCAATCTAAATATTAATAAATAGTGAATTTTCTTTATTCCGGTTTGTTAATCTACGATCTCGTCCAAGCGGAAGACTATCGATTGTCCGTCCAAAACAGAATTAAGAAACCTCCTCGTTCTTGTCTCAAAAGCCTTGATCGAAAGTATCAGTCTTTTACCTTCTTAAAAATAGTGTATAATTTCCAGATGCCATGAAAATGACATTCCATTATTCACTTCCAGTTAATAATGAAATCATTATGAACCACTGTTAAACTGCTGTCAAAGCCTACTTTATGGAGGGTTAAAATGTGATTATAGACTCGTAGCAATGCAATAAAAGCGAATCGTATGCATTTTAAAACGTCCAGCGCCCTCTCAATTATGAAAAGTAGAACTTCCAGGTCTCAGGCATAACAGTTGCAGTGTTCTATAGAAGTAAAAGCTTTGAAGCATTATGGTTCACAAAGATGGAGAAATGTGGCTATTGGGCACTTTTTCTGTGTGAAATTAATTTTTACTTTCTTTCGACTTTCGATTATTCTGAAAATCGGGTTTTTGAAAATCCTTCGAAACTTAATTCGTATTGATTTTGAAGTTATAATGAAACGAAAATTAAAATTAGAAAAAATTGGAATCGATATTTTTGCATTTTAACAGAAGAAAAATTGTTGAAAACGTTGTTTCCCCTGGAAATAACATTAGTTGACTTTATCAAACAACGAATTCAGTGTCTTGAAGGCGACACTTTGTATGTTGAGCTTTCAGACGATTTTCATTGCACGAACTTTATTAATGAGCGACAAAAAGAAAGTGTATGATTTTCTGTTCGTTCGTCTGTGTCCAGAATAACTCGCGAACGGTTTCGAATTTTCCAATTCTCTTTTCAGTAATAGGTAGACAGTGGCCAAGGGACTAACTGATTACATTTTGGTCAATGCTCGTCAACCGGAAGTGACTTTGTCGCTCGTTGTCTGTGTTGGTCCAGTTTATTTCGTTTATAATTTTATACAGGGCGATTCAAAATGGAGTGCAAAGATCCTAAGGGCGTATTTACCAGCCAAACTAAGAAATCTTAGTTTTCTATATACAGGCTGTAAAAGTTTTTAAAAAAATTGTTTCTTTTATCAATTATTCAAAAACCTTTCAGCAGATTTAAATGGTAGGCTTATTTGTCGTCATAAGGGCCTTCCTTTGGATTAAAATAAATAAAAACAGATTTTTTTCAAAAAACTTTGACACACTGTATCTAGAAAACGAAGCAAGTTAGGACAACCGATTACCTATATGAAAAAAATTTCTTTTTTTTGGTGGTAAATAAGCCCTTAAAATTTTTGCATTCAATTTTGATTCTAAAATTTAATAAAAAACGTTGTTATACGAAGCACAGAAGAAAGAAGGCACCTGCTTAAGTACACAATGAAATAAATTAAGAAATTCTGTACAAGCTTTTAAAAATCGACTGGCTTATTGCTTAGATCTTTAGAACAAAACTGAGGTCATCTTGAACATCCCTTGTAAATTCTTTGGGTTGCAGAAGTAACTAACTATCAGGCATATCACTGCATTGACATGTCTATTTTAGAATCGAACATACGAGTTTTATGCAGGAGATTTGTATGTTCAGTGTTAAAATTTACGCACTGTATATATACACACTTATGCTAAAAGAAATGTCTTTCTAGCACCAAAAGTAAGGTTATGGGTATGTCAAAACAACGCATTCTGGCACGAGACGCGTCAGACTTGGACGTTAGTGGAACTCTGTTCCAGCAAGCTGATTGATGCAGAGGACTAGTATCGATGATCATTACGGTGCTTGGTAGAATTTAGCACGTTTCACTAAGATTCTGCATCTGAGAATTTGGGTTGCGGCGATAAGTGGTTTTATGTATCTGTTACACTCCCCCTCTGTCTCCTAAGGGCGTCTCGGATTTTGGTGGGTTTCGGTGGTCTTCCCGTCTTTCTTATAGGTCGGATGGGGTTGTTCCCTTGGTATGGTTTTACAGCAGACACGTGGTATTTCCCGAGGGCCTTGGTTTTTTGGGCTTGCTATTTTGTAAGTAGTTCAGGATGCTTGTTGCATATGAGGTTGAGTTTACTAGTCTCTCCTTTGGTACGCAATGAGTGTGAGTTGGCCAAGACCTGATCTCCTGGTTGGAATTGCGGTTCTTCTTGTCGATTTCGTTCTGCGTACTGTTTTTGTTTATCTTGTTGTTCTTCCTGGACTATCTTCGATTGGCGGATGACAGCCGTTAATTGTATTAGTTGTAGTGTTATCTCTGTGATGAAATTTTCGCTTTGGATAATACTTCGTTGGTCCCGGTTTACGTCGACAGTTGTTGGGAGTTCGCGTCCAACTCCTAGGTTGGTTCCTTCTCACTGGGATAGAACAGCCCGTAAGGCGCTATTGCTGGCATCTGTGTGCAGCAGTATGAGAGCTGTGGTAGTAGCTTCCGTAGCGTTAGTATGCTTCTTGTTGGGCCAGCGTCCCGGTGCCAAGTAGTGTCTTTCTTTAGGAGGCTGTTGAGAGGTTTTGCGAGACCGGCAATATCGGCCTGGGTCTTCGTGGCGTCCACGGACATTTCTTGTGAGCTAATGAGTTATCCAAGATCATTTGGACATGGCCCGCCACCTTCCTTCCTTCCACCAACCACTTCCGCGCCTACCTTAATCAAGTTACCCTACTCGCATACCTTGACGACGTAACTCTCCTCTCCTCATACGTGGAGAAACACATGGAACACTTGTTTGAGGTCCTCCATGTGTTTCACCACGTCTGAGGAGAGGGAAGTTATGTCGTCAAGGTACACAAGTATAGGAACTAGGGTAATGCCGCCGCGGAAGTGGTTGATTTGTCCCTGGAAGGTGGCAGGCGCATTTTTAAGGCCAAAGGGCATACGTTTGAAACGGTACAGTCCTAATGGTGTCACAACCGTAGTGTAGTCTCCGCCTTCGCACGTACTAAGATCTTCCACCACCCGC